TCCTTCCCAGACACATTTGTAAGTGAGACATGAAAATCGTCTGTGTCACTGTGTAAATAAGGGGAAATCTGACAGGTCCCTCTGTTTGTCTGAATGTCTATCACTGTGTGTGTATATATATATTATATAATATATATATTAAAAAAACATGGAGCTTGGACAAGTCACCCTATCTGTCCATCTGTGACTGTACATGACTGTGAGCCCTGACAGGATGCGCTTTCTCTCTTGACTGGATACTCTGATGAGTCAACCTATTTGACTAACCAATAACCTTTTCTCTGTCCCCCTACCGGCCAATAATAATAATAACATTATCGTCAATATACCTATGCCTCTCTCTCTGACTGTCCACTTACCCATTAAAACCACTGCATCATCCCCATCTCAAAAAAAAATCCAAATTCTGTGAAGCACTTCGAAACGTGTCAATGGTGTGATAAGGCTCTACATCAAATGCAATGATTATTCTTATTATTATTATGACCAGTTCTGACGAAGGGTCATGGACCTAGAATGTTGACTCACTTTCCTTTCTCCATAGATGCTGCCTGACCTGCTGAGTGTTCCCAGCGACTTCTGTTTTTGTTTCAGGTTTTCAGCATCTGCAGTATTTTGCGTTTTTTTCATTATTATTATTATCCTTGTATCCTCAGAGTACATGTGTTTCCTATTCTTACTTTCTACATGTAGTACCTTGCATTCATCTGTATTCTCATTCGCAGGAATGTTAGGATATAATTACTTGGACAGTTTCGAAACATGAAGCAGTTTTTTGCCCGAGCAGAGAAGGGTAATAGAGGTTTTCAATATTGTGAATGGTTCTGATAGGGTAATTAACTAGATATTATTACCATTGAAATTATTACCATAAATTGAAGATTAACATCAGAAGAAAAAAACTGGATTCAATATTTTTTTAAACAGAGGGCTGTTCACTGGAGAAAGTGGAATGCCTTTTTTTTAAACTGGTCCAATCTATATACATCAATACTTGATGGCAACTAATAAGAAACAGCACAGGAAAATGCCAGGTGAATGGCATTAGAAGTAGATAGCATGGGAAACAGAAATGCCATTTCCTGCTCTAATTGTAAAGCCCTTGGAAAAGAATGGGAGGCAAAAAATGTGCCAAGAGAGAACTTGGAAGAGACTTGATGAGTATTCAATTCTTGGACAAACTTATGTTGAAAGGGATTCGGAGATGATGTTAACTGTGGCTATTTTTTCCTTAAGCGTTTGAATTGAAATTTGCCGCTTGTAAGGCAAGGATCAGTGCATGACAAATCCCAGAGCGAAGCTTTGGATTGTTGAGGAAAAGAAATCTTTGGCACAAAAGGAGGAAAAATGAGCTTCCCAGAGGCTGTGATAGCGATGGAAGAGATTTGGGAGTTTCCCCCTGAGGCTAGAAAAGTGTCCGAGTGAGCCAGATATCTTTCAAAAAATATAAAAATATTGCAATCTCTTCAAATCAGATAACTGTCATACAGAGCCATCATGTTACTGTATCACACACGCGAATGATGATTTTGTCTGATTCCAAATCTTGTCTGGTCTGTTGACAAGAGGCCTCCAGGGCAGCTAGCAGTAGCCCTGAGTTTAACTTACCCTCTTGCCCTGTGAGCCTGGGAAAGTAATGTGCAGGATGAGGAAATGTAGCTCAGTGAAGCCCTGCAGCTCAGTGGTTAGAGCACTCAACTCGCAAGTTAATGATCTGGGTTCAATTCCCGGGCAGGGCGAAATGTTGGGCAAGTTTCCTTGCTCCACACGCCTCTGTTTAGCTAGCAGTAAGGAGGAACCCGGTTGTTGGTCGATTGGCAGATAGCTTTTCCGGGGGTAGTAATTCCTTCAAAAAAAATAATAATTTGGTCACTCAATCGACGACTGTTTGTAGGACACTGCTGTGCATTTCGCCCATAAAATATACATTTAATTCACTTTACAGTATATTCTGGGAAGCGCTTTGAGACATCTCGAAGATGTGATAAGGTGCTATATCAAATGCAAGGATTATTATTATTACAAATGACAGACAGAAAGAGAATTTGGGTTTAAAGAGAGAAGCATTTAATCACTTGTTCTTGAGAGGGACAAGTAGAACTTAGGTTAAAAATAGGTAAAAGTGACACGCTGAGTGCCACTTTACACCAGGTAGTAAGGTAAAATCATAGAACCGGAAAAATTTACAGCTCAGAAGTATGCCATTTCTGTGTCTGTGCCGGCTGCCTCAAGAGCAATCTTTTCAGTCCCACTTGCCTGCCCTTTCCCCCACACTTTTTAAGGTATTTATTTGTCTCTCTTCCCTTCGCCCCCCCACCCCCCCCCAACCCATGTATCAAAAAACGTCAGCACGCAGAGAATAACAGCGAGGAAGAATCCTGTTTACTCCTTGTGTGAACATGGCGGGTTGTGTTCCACTTTGTGAAGGGCTCAGACTGCCAATAGAAGATTGTTGCTGCAATGTGGGTGGTAGATAGGGTTTCTACCCCATCTAAAATCATTCTGTACTGAGGACTATCCTGTCATATCCGCCACTGCCTTGACTCGTGGGCATGCAGTGACTTAGCCTAAGCAATGAAAACAGAAGGCAAGAAGAGCCAAAGGCTTGATGCAATGTTATTTCTGTGTCTTTATCCAAAACATCTAGAGTCTATTGGTAGCTCAGGAACCCAACAGAAAAGGGAGTCATTCCATCGCTGCTTGGCATAGCCAGTCACATCTATTTTGGTTCACTGCCTCTGTGTGCCCATAAATCCTCCCTGCTCCAGCTGCACGCACACTTGTAAATTATACATTGTGACCTTAGGGGGTTTGTGCAACGCATGCAGTACAGTTACTTTATTACTTCCATTGTAATATTAAAAAAAAGCATCAACATCTGTGAGGTTTCATTTCTAGCCTTCCATGCTGTTTCAATTTTCTTTGTACACCAACTGTGTACAGCATGTGAATGCTAACAATGGCCTACAAGTCTTAAGTGGGAATCATTTACGTTATGACCTTCAGCAGCCAACCAACTATTTTCCCCCCTTCCTTCGGGCAAAACATTTGGGCACCTCACCCTGGCACACTAATGTGTGCACGTCATCAGACCCAGCCCATCGGTGTCTACACTGAGGATAACATCTGCAAAAGTACGTACCTAACAATGGGATAGCCCAATTCTGACACATATTCTGAGAAAATATGTGGGCGGCGGGGGGGAAAGGAGGGAAGTGGTTCCTAAATCCGTTTGCTCTGAATTACCACCAGGGATAATTAAGGAATGCTTTCCCGACTGAAACTGTCTTTAATAATCGGCCTGCGACTGAACAACCTCCTGATTTGGAGGGAGTATAGTTTCTCCCGCATACCCAACAGTGAAGTATTCCATCAGGCCACGACTCTGCTGTCACCTTTTATGATGTTATCTGAATCCCTCAATCGGAATTGTGTCTTAGATGAGCTGCTGTTTAGTCCCTGGTTCCTGTGTGTACATAGTAGGAAAGTGTAATGGAATTTATGCAATGGAATTTGCGCAAGGATTTTGCTGTAGATCAAACACCTGTGCCACTTTTAATTCATTTTTGTTTACAAGGTTTTGTGTGCAGCTTTCAAGGTCCGCAGATCACCTGTAAACAATAATGAACTTCACAATGGAAAACAATTTTATTTCCATCAGCCTGCAATGCAAAAAACAAATCAGTGCAATACTCGTGGGCCTTCAGTACAAGTAATCTCTGTGCTATAGACTAATGCAATAGCATCATTGCTCGTGAGGAACATGCACTCCCAGGGGCAATCAAAGAGGAATGTTTTCACCTAATAACTGCAAGTGGAACCACACTGTCTGGATTTCTATTGATCAGTTTTTGCTTTCTCTATACAACTGACACATATTTAACACAACTTTATGACAAGGGCTATATGTGCATTCACACTCCAACCTTAAAAGGCATGATTTGTTTCAAACACACAATTCGAGAAATATAAAATAATGTTATCCTTACACCACATCATTTTGCAAGGTCCATCACAAATGTTTGCTCTTTCAAACTGAAAAGCTGCTGTCCCTTTGCACCGAGACCACAATGAGACAAAAAGCTCAATGCAGTTGCTAACCCTAACCCTAACCCTAACCCTGTAAAAACTGTGGCTGGCCCCACGCATCATAATAATTTACGTTGGAATCTCAAAGCAGCTAACACAGAGACTAACTCTGTGAATGGATATTAACACACTGCTTCATTGCTATGAAAGTTGATTTGCCTAATTGGTTCTGCCTAATAAGCACACTCTTCAAATTAGGATCAATTACCAGAATCATTTAATTCTCAATAACATAATTTAATTCTCAATAACATAATCATTACTTCAGTCAGTGAGAACTTTAGCACTATTTTAGTTTTCAAGTTGTTTGAAAGACGCATGCAAAGCGGGTTGATTCTAAAATATTGCATCTTGTGCTCCCGCAGGCAAAGAGCAGTCAACGAGCAGCCACCTAAATCAGCATGATGTACATGGGCTCTTTGGAGGAGTTACACTTTAATACGTTGTGAAGGCTTGTTCAGTATGAGCAGCACTTTACACTCACTTACCAACAGGCACTTACAAACCCAATGTGTGTAATTTTAGGCTCCTTTCCTTCAAAAAAAAACATTGAGCTTTGGAGAGTAATTTTTATTGATTCGCTCCATCTCGCTGTCATGTTTTAACTCATAGAATCAGGATGTTACAGCACAGAAACGGGCCACTTTGGCCTCAGGATTGGAGCCCCTCAAGTCTCCCGCCATTTCTCTTTCAGGTGCCAACTGACCCTGCTCTGTATTTGCAACAGCTCTCGCTCTAGCGACGCAGGCAACCGTAGTTGCTCTGATTCTCAGAGATCAGTTTAAGCCTCACTGGAAATCAGTGTCGTACTTGATCTCCTTGAGGCAGTTACCAGCATGAGGCGCAATCATCTTAGGAGCATCATAATAGAAAACACATCCTGTGCCACTCAGGAAAGGGTTCTCTCTTACCCAGGTTGGAGGAGGCACGTCCCTCTGCTGCCCGATCCTTCAGGTTCTCTGCTATGCTCAACTGTTGTTCGTGGTACTGCTTGGCTCTCTCCAGGTCCTGCATGCAGCGCGCTGCGTGACCCAGCCCTGCATAAGCCCTCATCTCGATGGACTTCTCACTTAGTTCCTGTGCGAGCTCCAGCACGTGGTTGTGGTAGGACATGGCCTTGTCAAAGTTCCTCCTGTAGTGGTAGGCACTGCCGAGGTTACTGTATGCCCGTGCTTCCTCCCGCTTGTTGCCCAGGTCCTTGGCATTTTTCAGGTGCTGCTCGTGGCACTGCACAGCATTTTCAAAGTCACCCATCGCGATGTAAACAGCCCCCATATTGCCCAGCTCTCTGGCTTCCAAGAGTTCGTCTTTGGATTGTTTAGCGAGAAGGACGCACTGTTTGTGACTGGCGAGTGCATTCGGGTAATCTCCGATGGCCGTGTAGACATGACCTAGGCTGCTCAGTGCTGTAGAGGCCGCCTGTAATGCAGGAAATACATTTTTTATGAAATATTGAGCGATCTGCTGTCTTACAATAATGCATTAGAGTATTTTCCTAAAAACAGTGATATAAAATCTCTCATTTGCAGCTACAGGACTTCATGTTAAAGGAGACGGAAAGTGTGGGGGTAAACAAAGACAACAACACGAAGAACAGGCAAAGAAGAAATCAAAAAAAAGTTTATTTGCTTCACCAACTACAGCACCGATTTGAGAGAAATCCAAGAACACAACTTTGCAAGAGTATAACTGAGAAGTGATTTAGAAGCCTTCGGAGAAATTCCAGCGGGTGTAGAGTTACTCTATTAACGTAGCTTTTAAGAGCACCAAGAATTTGGCGAATTTTCAATTCAGTCTTCACATTGAAGTAGTTAACGAAGAACTCTGTCCTTCTGAAACAAACTTATAGAAAATTGGATTTAAATTATGGCTGTGTTTTGTATTAAAGAATTTGAATTTGACGCATTCTGGACAATCTAAAGTGCCCCATTGATAGCGTAAATCTGCAATCATGTGGGCTTTCTCTTTAACAGTGTCAAAGTCTTTGCAGATGTCCAGCTTTACAAAAGATCATAAGAAATGCTAGACGAAAAAAAAGACCAAGGTCCACCTAGTTCGCCTTCCACCTTCCTGGCAGTCGCATGCACACATGTCCCAAACTTAATGTCAAATGAGAAACCAAAGCGTCCAAGAGTCGAGTTTCAGAGCTTCCCAACTTCAGCAAGACATTGAATGGAAATCCATTAGGACAGAATACTTTCCCATTCACTCCTCTTTTAGAAAAACTCCCCTTATTATCAGAATCCCAAAGCACTAAACTTTCTCCCACTGACTTAATAACATTCCTGATGCTGCACAACACTTAAATACAGAATCCCTTTCCAAGTATGAACTGGTCCTCAATTATCTTATTTTACAATGCTGAGTGCACAAAGTACAGACAATTCACTGCCAAACACAGTATTCCCTAGAAACAGCTGTGCAGCTTCGAACTCCAATCACTTCAGTGTCCAGGATAGGTTTGTCCTGTTTTTATTTCTCTCTTGTTTTTGTTTAGATCTAATCAGCGAACAAACGACTGGTCTCGAAGTGCAGAGATCTGAATCTTAATATTCCTGCAGCTTCGAGGAATCTTAATACAAGCCTAACTTTACTTCTTGGCAAACCCAGTCTGTATTTATCAGACTCAATGGTTTCAGCGTAGCTAGGAGACAGAATCAGCAGGCACCAACCAGCCCACGTTCAAGTGCTGGCAAATGTAACTGTACCACAATCATACCAGTAGCAATGCTAGATGGGATCTTTGATGCAACACGACAGGCCATATGGCAATATAGCGGATTGCTAACCATCATGAGTGCATACTATTAGCGAGTAACAATGAATTCTATAAGACTTACACGCATCTCCAATGAACGAAATCCAGCAAATATCCAAGGGATTTGTGGAATTCGTGGCTCCCATATTTTGGAATTTGCATTGGGTTGTTGTGCTTGGCAAGACATCACAGACCTCAAAGGTACGTGATCAGAACAGGTCCTGGCACGATGGTGGTTTGGTGGGGGAGGGGGTGTCGTTCCCCTAATTATGTGATCCATCATACTAAATGGAACCAGGTGAGTACAGCCTTGTACTGTGCGAGTCCCTCAGCACACATCCACAGCAGAACTCCATGCTCAACCACTGGCCATTTTAACACTGAAACTACAATCCTAAATAAATCGAGGGGGGCTGTTTCAGGATCAGGTTGGTGAACACATTGATTAATGCTCATCAGAAGATTGTGACTCCTCTTCGTCCATTAACTAGTTCCTGAGCCAGGCGGGTCCACAGTATTCCAGGGCACAGCCCGGCTTGTCAGCATAACTTGGAAGAGTAGGCCAGTCACTGGGGGCAGGGATTCTTCCCACACAGCTACCATAAACCCTGAAAGCCCAATCCCTCCAACCCCTGGACAAGCAGAGGGAAAGCTTGTCAGACAGTGCTTTCAAAGGCAAATTATGTAGGTTTAGCTCGTTAGACTCCAGCAGTATCTCAACGCACACTCTGGGGTCCCAACCTGCGACTGATACTTTCAGGAATTAGGTAATCCCGTCCAGCGCAAGAATACACATTCTATTCCAATAAATATGTGTGGACGGGCTGCATAGAAGTTTGGTTTTGATACTCTTAAGCAGTTTGATGGGTTCCTGCGTGTGGCCAACAGCCAGGTGACCAAAAAAAGACTTAAGAAGCAAAGTATTGTCAGAGGTGCATCTTTTGGATGAGACATTAAACCAAGTGCCCTTCTGCCTTTTCAGGCAGATATAAAAAGATTCCACAACATTATTCAAAAAGGAAAGGGAGTTTCTGCTGATGTCCTAGCCAACAATCCTCTAGAATAGATAAACTGGACCTTCACCTTACTGCTGTGGGAATTACTGTGTGCAAATTGGCTGTAGCGCTTGGCTGCAAACACAAAGTCATTGCTCATGATAGCAACTACTGGTGAATTTGCTTTGATATTTTTCACCATCATAGGCAGTTCGTCAACTTGCATTTAGACAGTGTAAGATATTGTCTCGGAGCGATTTACAGTAACAGGGTCAGGTGGAATGTACAACGTTTTGATACACTTTTGATTTTGTGCTGGGATTCAGGCAGAGACACTGACAACTTCATCGACTGGGTTTGGTGCTGGTTCCAGATTTCCTCAGTGAGTTCCCACTGGCACTCTGCCCCACCCCCCCTCCCCTCCATCCACCGCTAACCCACAGCGCTTTAACAGATGGCTTCACACCAGAGTTTTTAAGTTCCGAAAGTATAATTTTCTGAAGACAAAATTAATCGGGGGGAAAACTGATCTTTGAGGCACCAAAAATAGCTAAATAAAGGATTTTATTTTTAGTTTTCCTCTCCTAAGCAAAGCAGCACTTCGAGTTGTTTTGAACCAAACGAAAACAGAGGCCAGAACAGAATTATTTAGGAAAGTACGCATCGGCTCCTGTGGCTGGCCACCAGACATGCAGACACACCACTAAACCCACCCGGCGCAGTTTCATTAAGTGTTGCCATTTTGTGGCCTTTTATACGCAGACAATGAGTCTATTATGCAAGTAAAGAACAAACGAACGTATGAGGACAGTGCAGACTCGATGGGCTCAATGGCCTCATTCAGTGCTGTAGATCTCTTTGCTCGTAATTACAGATCTTCTTAATTGTGTGATTGACAACCAATGAAGAGTATTAAAGATTCCGCAAAATATTTCTCATTGCTGTTTATTCCTCTGTACACATGTCTTGATCACGTCCAGGCTCAACTATGCCAGTGCTTTGCAACAACAACAACAACTTGCATTTATGCAGTGCCCTTCACGCTGGACTGCATCTTGGAGCACTTAGATGGTGGTGGACTCCACAGCTCTTCTCTAAGCACACTGTCCAAACATCCGCAACTCACACCCTCTCGCACGCCAGGCTGCACAAGCCTCTCACCTCCATCCTTGCTCAGCGTAATTGGCTTCCCATCTCCTGGCAGATTGAGTTTGAGATCTTTGTATCCCTCTATGGTCTCGCGCCCCCCCACCACCCTCTCTTTCCAGCTCGGGATCAAACCATACCACTCTAAAGTGCTCTGAGATCCTATCTGCACGAAGGGTGCTCTGCACATGCAAGTTGTTGGCATGTGGAGGGTACAATATTCCCTCATTTAACAATTACAAATTGAAATTACTGTTTTAAGTAAGAGCCATCACTCCTTTGATGCTTAAGGAACTGGACAAACAACAACAAACTGCACTTATACACTTTTCACATAAAGAGAACATCCCAAAGTGCTTTACAGAGTTGTGGTTGGAGCTTGACCCTGGGGGAAGGTGTAGGCAAAGAGAGATGGGTTTAAGATGGGTTTTGAAAGCAGTGAGGGAAGGAGAAAGACAGGAAATTTGGAAGAGCATTCCAGAAAACAGGGGCAAAGTGGCTGAAAGCTCACCCATTAATGGTACTTATTTAATAACCCTGTCACCCTTGCTTCTCTTCTACTAAATTACCGGTCTCGTCCTTAGTGACACAACCTCCTCCTGACTATCCCTTTGCTTCTAATACGCTTATAAAAATCTTTAGTTTCCTTTAATATTGTCCAACAGTCTTTTTATGTTGTTTCTTAGCCTTTCTAATTTCCCTTTTTGCTGCCTTTGCATCTTTGATATATTTCCTTATTTTCCACTGTAATGGTAGACCTATAATTTGCATAAACCTCCCTCTTTTCCATTGTTAACTTCCTAATATTTTTCGAATCCCAAGGTCCTCTATGTTTAGTTGCATCCCTTTGGGTTTTGATGTGAATTCAAAAGTAAGTATTATTTTTAGCGAAGGCATGGATGAAACCAATCTATAAGACCCTATAGACTGCTTTCACCTACGCAAAGGACCGTAACTAACAACTATTTATGTGTGAGATTAGATCCCATATGAATGAGTTAGGAAGTAATAACATATGAAACACATTGGATGTGCAAGAGTTGGCATTTCTAAACATCCTTTACAACTCCAATATGGTATTGATTTCCCCCAAAATGCCCCCAGAGGATAATGCTGCTGGACTGTGAGGGATGCTGAAAGAAAACACAGCTTGCCCTGAATCTATAAAAAGCAAAGAGACAGACCCAACCTCACTGTAATTAGAGAGGCACAGGCAGAGGCTTGGGAACAAGTTACTCTCCCTCTTGTGTGAGAAATGTGCAAGAACGGAGCTCGAAGCGGGAGGAACCCAAGCAAGTGGGAGTGAAATAACACGGAAAAGAGGACAAGCGAGTGAAACATTGCAAACTCCTGTTCCATTCAGTCCACAGACGCTCTGAGGATTTGTTTGATGGTCGTTTTAAGATAGCTTAAATTCAACAGAATCAAAAACAACAACTTGCATTTATATACAGCGCCCTTCTTGCAGGGTAGCATCTAGGAGTGCTTCGCAATGGCAGTGTTTCACACTGAGCTAGGGA